GCCGACGCCGGCCGCGCCGCCGCCCGCGCCGCACGCGCCGCACGCGCCCATCGCGCCGCACACGCCGCACGCGCCCATCACGCCGCAGCCGCCCATCTCCCTGGTCAGTGCGCTGGTAATTGGCGCTCTTACATGCACGTCCGCCCTAACCATCGGCTACCGATTTGGAACAGACGAATAATGTTCATCGTTTTGTCCATTCCAGCCAATCAACACGTCGGATCCGGCCAACCATCAGTTGAAGCAGGAGAGCTCCGACGTTCACTAGGCGACGAAGATGCGCTACGTTACAGTACCGTGATCACGCCGAGCGACTAAACAAACATACAAAACAAACAATAGTTTTATTGATTCCATCGCAATTATGTCATAAGTACCTATGTCGTAAGCCAACGAGTGATATAATAATGTAGTCGCGGCGTTTGCATAGAGGCGACACAACGCTTTATATTATAAAATAGTAAATTAGTGAGTTTTAGTGCGTCGGTTCGATCCGCGGCGAGTGAGTCTGTCTGTCTGCCCTCAAACATTTTGTTTTATAGTAAAATATGTTCCTGTCGCGGGATAGGAGACAAATGGGACGCTTGAATTGACTGTGAAATTAATGTTAATAATATAAATATGCAGGCATATTTCAATAAGGATTTTGCCTCCAATAATAATATAATTATTTTGATTTATCTGATGATTAAGTGATTTATCGATAAGCACTCCATTTATTTCCTACTTCGTGATTTTCATAGTCGATTTCATGTTAACTGACAATAAAAAGTAATATTTCGACACAAACGAGATTGATATAAACGAGACACTCGTGTAATAAATAACTAATGAAGTTTTGAAAGTATACAAATGAATCGAGCTAATTCGATTCTCGAACATTACGTCAAGGAGACAAATAATTATAATTAGTGCATATGGCTTGCAGGAATGTTGTGTGTGACTGTACACAGTTTTATTTCAGTGTGATTATGAGATTCCTTGTGAAATGCACGCCCGTCTCGATGCAAACGTCGCGCGTTATGAGCGAATAGTTGATTCTGTGTTTGTATTTGGTAAGTTGGGACAGCTATATATAGATACTGTTATGGTAAAATGCGTGTATTGATCGCGGGCCGAAACGTGTATGTTCTGTGTACTTGTACGTGTAAATAATGCGATAATAAGTCTAATACTGCTTTACTCCACACAGTCGAGCATCGTGGAAGTGTTGTACGGCGAAGTAACGCAAGTTATCTTCTATAGCCGCTGCGGAGAAAATGATGACCCATTGTGTGGAGTAGATAAGTTTCATACTAAAGAAAACAACTACTTCGCGTACAGTGATTAATGAAGTAGACATACGCGTGAGAGCTCGTCGGCATAGGTTTTTAGAATCATAAAAGCTCTATAATTTTGTATATGGTCAGTGATAGCTAGCTTACTGGTAACGACGATGGCTGGAGAAATTAATTTAGAAACAAATGGAATCAAAGGTTCCACGAGTTTTATGTAAATTTGTATAAGGCTTTTGTGCTTACCTTGGCGGGTAATTAAATAGATTTTTATATTGAATTAAAATGTACAAAAAAGAAAAGTCATTAAAACTATCATTCTCATTTTGTAACACATACACATTTGACTTTATTATCGCGTTATTCAGACGTATGTACCGCGTGTGTGTTGAATCGAAGCGCTGGAGTTATACTGTGTACTGCGGTACGCGGAGGTTCGATGCATGGTCCCAGCCCCTGGTCTATGAGCATTTGATCGCATTTGTTTGTACCCACACGGCCGCGGCCCCGGTCCGGCCCGAGCGCATGCATTCGAACTGTTATTTTTAAGTAATCAACAAAAGGACTGTAGAATTCTATCATCACACTTTATTAATGAGAAAACGGATGTCTTCGTGTTTCTTTTTTTTACTTTGAAAATGTACAAAATCATCCTTCATTTGAATATTTTTTTTTAAATAGTGTTTAAGTGACGAATTTGTACATGAACATGAAAGAACACCATGAATATAAAATTTAGAACCGAAACGCAATAGAGGGGCACCGCCCCGCCGTGCACCCGTTTGACAATCGTGAGAATTGGTATTTAAAAATTAGTATTTACTTACAGTTTAGTTTAATGACAAAAACAATGTGTATATTTTATGAGAAAGTGAAAAGTTCTTAAATAAAACTATTGTTTTCGGATTAATTACCTGAGTGTTTTATTTATTATCAAACATATGTCAACCTCTTGCGTTTTCAGTTCTGATTGACTACTACAATACGTACAAATAACAAATATACTAATACATAACTATTATGATATATATCGACCACTGCTTTCTTTACTTATTGCACATTTTATAAGTTAGAAAGAATATTTACTAGCAATATATTTTGCATTTGTAACTTTAAAAACAAATAGTTTTACAAATATAACATTTCATGCAGTATTGAGATCGTATGTATAAATTGGCACATAAGTGAATATTATTATCCCTAACAAATAAATTAATATGTCGATGCTACAACGAACTATAAACTTGATATAATTAAAATCGTCACTACAGACATTTTTGTAAGAAAACCTCAAGCAATTCGCCTTTTATAAATTCGGTATATTTGTTGCAATCTAGTTGCTAAGTCCGATTATCTCTTTCATTTTATATTATAGGTAGCTCAAGAAATGACAGTGCGATGGATTAAAAAAAATACGTTAAAATCTGGGTCGCTCGTACAGTAGTACTTGTGTAGTACCACACTTGTAAAGGCGTATGAATGGGAAATATTCCCATTTACAAAAAAAAATGCGATGTGTTCAAGTATTCATTTTCCATCGGGAGTCAGTTAATAAATACATAGTTACACACAGTAACAACCACAACCGTTAGTTTCAATCAAAAGGTTTTCTTAGAAGTTTCAAGATTATAATTTGGCAATCGAGTACTTCCACATAAAACCTCGGTTTTTTGGTAATAAAACAATGAATAAACTTAAAGTTATTGTCTATCCCTGATTTTTCAACGGTTATATGTAATAGGCGGGATTACTAACTTTACTGAAGAACCACTGCCTGTTTTGATATCACGGCTGACGGTGGCGTTGCGACCTTCAACCTCCTTGCTTCATCAGCGTCCAATGCTCTCTTCATCTCGAAATATTTCTGTTTGTAGGAGTGTAGTTCGCTGTTGACACGATCCAGCTCTAAGCGTTGGTCGTTCACTTGCCGTTCACGCATGCTTAGCTCTGGAAAGTACATAGTAGATTTGGTAAATTATCGATTCAATGAAAATTAATTTGGAAATTAGAAGATTTCTTCTATAATATTCCTAATTCACTGCACGTCCTTAAAATTCCAAAAAGGGACGTGGTCGTAGAAATCTTTAACTGCATAAAAGTAAAATACAAATTGTAAATGGAAACCTACTTCCAATGGAAGTTTCTTCTATTAAATATTAAGACTTTCAGAAAAAAAGTAGGTTGCAAAGATAATAGAGCATTATCTAATCGATTTGATCAGCGTAGATATAAACGATGTTTTTTGATTCACAATAATTATTTTAAGTACAAATCAAGATTTAATAAGTGACAAAAAGCTGACGATAAACCTTTTAACGCGTTCATTGATTACTTAAATCATTAAAGAGTTAGCCAATTCATGCTCGACCTAGCTTCATGGCTGTCGAATCACTGAAAACCATTCCGTGAAGGACTTGCCTATTAGTTTTACCAAGTTTCACAAAAATGTAACTAACCTGCGATTAAGCACTTCATCTTCGTGGTCCTATTTGTCAGGGCCCGTTGCGTACGATTCAATGTTATCTGAAAGACAAAATTTTGAACTTTTGGCGGGTTCTACCTATCATATCATAGACAACTTATTTTTAGTTCCAATATCTGGGTACCAGCAAAGATAAGACATAGAGAAGATATAGGCTGAATAGTATAAGCTTGCTCGATATGCAAAACCCTGAATTAATTAAAATAAATCAATAAAATGAACTTACGAACATGGTTAGCATTATAATAAACATTACAATGTAACCATTTGAACAAATGTTATAGAATGTTTACAAAAATTAATAAATGTATGTAAGTAGGTAGGTACTTTTTTACCTGAATCTCTGGACTAGGCTGCAAGGCCAGCATATCTTTGACTGCAGTATACAGGTTCCGCGTTTCCTTCAGCTCCCGGTCTTTCAGTACGAGCATTTCGCTTTGAGCTAGTACTTTCCTGAAAAAGAAAAACAAACTAATATCACGCTGGCCTAAAGGTCAAAAAAATGGTTGATAGGCAAATGTCATTATGGACTGTATTAAATAGCAAATTGAAGCACGGAACCAATACCTAAGAGCACTGGTAAACATGAACCTTGATCCTGTTCGCCAAACGAGGAGTTTACGGCAAAGTCCTTTCAAACCCTCTTGTGACCCATATTCCAACAGTGGACTGACATGAGCTGATATTAAAATACATGTATAATAAAAAAGTCTTTGTCGAAGTGTAGTGAAGTGACAGCGTTTTTGCGCTTTGTAGTGATGTAGTGTAGTTTGTTGTGGCTGTAGTAACGATTATAGAATTGTTTGTTTCGCAGTAACAATCTGTACGAAGTGACACCATTAAAATATAAACAACAGAAGATCAAGGTTGTAACAATACGGTCAATGCCTGGCCTGAGCACTTTTTGTTTCAAATTACGACATTATATCAGTAAAAACAGTAGACATTGCATTGGTATTATGTTCTATAGACTTAATTATAATTTAACTGAAGTTTATTCTGATAAAATTACCGTAATCTCTTGTCAATTTTAAACTTTATTACAGGTATTCACGAATGGGCCGGCTGGACCATTGTGACCACGGCCTAACAGAAAAACCTGCGTGAAACAACACTTGTGTTGGGTTTCGCTACGTGGGTGAGGCTACCGGAGAGGCCCAATTATTCCCCTATCCATTTCTTAATTCTCAAAACCCTTAACCCCAAAAGGCCGGCAATGCACTTGTAACACCTCATACTCTTGTAATCAAACCAATCTCAATGTCAATGCAATTTCAATCCAATAAAATCTCAATAATTATTCAATGTCAAAACTATACAACCCCAATCGTAGCTGTAAAAATAGCATTCAGAGTACGGAATATAAAACCAAACTCAATACCATTTATTTCCTTCAATATCCACGCAATGCGGATGCAATGGGCGCTAGTGTTGCAACTCAAGAGTACGAAAGTTCACAATACCAATGTCGACCAATCGGAATTGGATTCAAGAGTAAGCCCCCAGGTGTTACGGTCCATGGGCGGCGCTGACTGCTTACCATCAGGTGACTAGTCTGCTCGTTTGTCGGCTAACCCATATAGTAAAACATTATGTCTGCGTCAGAAATTCCCTGTACCTGTCGTCAGTCCTGTGACGTAGTAGTTAATCATTAGTGCATAAGAATATAAACTGTATCTCTGGAGAGGAGGGAGGATTAATAAACAGAACGTGTAACGATTAACATCTTGTTTGATTTATCGAAGTCCCGTCCTTACATGGCGACCCTGCCATTTAAGGTTCGGTGTCGAATTCCGGACTCAGTA